GAATAAATTTAAGATTTTAAACGCTAAAGCACGGCGAACATTTAAACAAAATAAACGCCATTCTTGGCAAAACTATGTATCAAAGCTTAACTCTCGTACGCCAATGTCAAAGGTATGGAATATGATCCAAAAAATCAAAGGAAAGGGCTGCAAAGCTGGCATTCACCATCTTAATGACAGAAACCAGATACTAACTGATAAATCTGATATTGCTAACAAACTTGGTGAAACTTTGGCGAACCACTCTTCCTCTTCTAATTATGTGCCTAACTTCCAAAAGTACCAAAAACAGCAAGAAAAGAAAACTATTAATTTCAATTCAGATAATGGGGAAGATTACAACGAGATATTTTCTATTCATGAGCTCCATACTGCTCTTGAACAAGCGCATGATACTGCTACAGGAGCTGATAATATACATTATCAACTCTTGAAGCATTTACCAGAATCCTGTTTAGAGACACTCTTGCATATTTTTGATGATATTTGGACCTCTGGTACATTCCCATCCTCATGGCGTGATGCCATAATTGTCCCTATTCCTAAACCTGGACGTGATCATACCGATCCTTCAAATTATAGACCTATTTCACTTACCAGCTGCGTTTGCAAAACCATGGAACGCATGATCAATAATCGTCTCGTTTGGTACTTGGAAACTAACAATCTTCTCACTGATATCCAATGTGGTTTCCGTAAAAACCGTAGTACCATTGATCACCTAGTACGTTTGGAATCTTTTGCAAAAAATGCCATAATTAATAAGCAACATGCAGTGTCGATCTTTTTTGATCTGGAAAAGGCATATGATACTACATGGAAATATGGTATTTTAAGAGATCTACATGATTTCGGACTGCGAGGCCGTTTACCTCTTTTCATATCTAAGTTTTTACATGACAGACAATTTCAAGTCCGAGTGGGATCAACCCTGTCTGATCATTACAAACAGGATCAGGGCGTCCCACAAGGTAGTATTTTGTCTGTCACTTTATTTAGTATAAAGATTAATAGTTTATCAAAAGTTTTAAACGATTCAATTGATGGATCGTTATTTGTGGATGATTTTAACATTTCCTGTCGTGGTAAAACATGCATACTATTGAAAGGCAACTGCAATTGTGTTTGAATAAAATTCATAACTGGTGTCTTGAAAACGGGTTCAAATTTTCAAAATCAAAAACAAATTGTATCCACTTTTGCCGAAAATATAAACCTCACCAAGACCCAGAATTAAATTTAGACGGTACTCCTATTAAAATTGTAAAAGAGGCCAAGTTCCTGGGTTTAATTTTTGATCAACATTTGACCTTTCGGCCACATATAAAATATTTGAAAAATAAATGCCTGAAGGCTCTAGATATATTGAAAGTTGTTTCCAACTCGAAGTGGGGAGGGGGATCAGAAAACCCTCCTCCAACTGTATCGGGCACTTATACGATCCAAACTAGATTATGGCTCCATCGTCTATGGTGGAGCCTGCAAAAGCAACCTTAAACCCTTAGATTCTATCCATCATCAAGGTCTGAGACTATGTCTTGGATCTTTCCGAACTTCTCCTATTGACAGTCTCTATGTCGAGGCCGATGAGCCTTCTCTTAACCAACGACGTATAAAATTATCCTTACAATATATAACAAAACTATATTCTAACGAGTCTAATCCTGCATTTAACTGTGTTTTCAATCCTCTTTATGAGGATTTGTACAACGAAAAGGCTTCTCTTGTTCCGCCTCTTGGGCTAAGAATTAGACCATTCATTTCTGCTGCCGGCATTGAGCTGGAAAATATAGCTCCTTCCCGTCTTCTTTCTTCTCCTCCTTGGCAATTAGTGAGACCTGAAGTTGACCTATCTCTAACAAAGTTTAAGAAATCTGAAACTAATGAATTACAATACAAACAAGAATACATGCAGTTAAAACATAAATATACTACATACAAATCCTTATTTACAGATGGGTCCAAGGATGGTGGCGCGGTGGCATGTGCCACTGTCATTGGATCCAGAACAATATCTTCTCGACTACCAAACAACAGCTCTATTTTCACAGCAGAAGCTAACGCCATATTAACAGCTCTTAAATATATTAGTAGACACCGTAAATATAAACAATACATCATTTTTTCTGATTCTCTTTCTTGTCTTCTGGCTATTAAACATATTTCTTGTAAACATCCACTTTTATTAGAAATTATAGAATTGTATAACGAGCTTGCTACTGGCCAATGCGACATCGTCTTTTGTTGGTTACCCAGCCACGTTGGCATTTCTGGGAACACAATGGCTGATCTTGCTGCTAAGGCAGCCCTCAACAAATCTGTGACACCACTTCATATTCCTTACTCTGATTACAAAGCTTGCATTAGAACTTACATTCGTGATCTTATGCAGAAGAAGTGGGACACCCAAGTCGGTATTAATAAATTACATGCAATTAAACCAACCATCGGTTATACCTACTTGGGGTGCCAGTCCAGATTTCAAGAGGTCATTATGCGACGATGTCGCATTGGCCATACGCGTTATACTCATAAATACTTGCTAAAAGGTGAAGATCCTCCGTTTTGTATCCCTTGTGATGAGAGAGTTACGGTCAAGCATATCCTGCTTGACTGTGTTGAATTCTCCATCATAAGGGGTAAATATTTCAGTGTAAAAAACACTTAAGGATCTTTTTACTTCTGTTCATTCTCATTTAATTCTTGGTTTTTTAAAAGAAATTGACTTCATTGATGAATTCTGATTAACATGTTCTGTAGATAGATGTATTTTAATGATTGGTAGTTTAGATTAGTAACTGAGATTGTTAGTGGCTGTACCCTCAAAGGGGGGTTGAAGTAGTGTAAAATTATTGTCCTCCTGAGAGGGTATGTAAGTCCCAAAACATTTCAAGTAAATTTAAGTATACCAGGTGTTTTAATCGTAGTATTTTTGTCATTTTAATGTATGGCTAATTCTCGGTATAAACGCCAACAGCTGAAGGGATGGTGTAAATCCAGCTAGGGTCCATGCAGGTAGCAAAAGTAATGTAAGTCCCCATGGCCCCTAGTATGGTGATCTACCTTCAGTTGTTGGCGATCTATAGCCCATTTTTATATTGTGTTGTCCCCTATAGCTAAAATGTTTTAGATTCAATTACTAGTTTTACATATATATCTGTGATACTCTAGTTGCTTTACTGTCCTTTGTCGGCAGGTTTTTATAATATCTATATATATATATTGTTTTTCAATATCAAATGTTCTCGTCACGATATGGCTGAAATATTGCCGATGTGACGTTAAATATTAATTCACTCACTCACTCCCTAAGTGCTTCGCCGTGAGAGGGGGGTCAACTGTTTCGTCTCGAAACAAGGACTGGTCCGTCACGGAGCAAATTCTACTTTATCGCAAAGCAACTGGGAAGCTGTTTCGTCTCGAAACAAGGGCTCACCTATCCTCGGGTGTCTCCAACTCAGACAATAAAACACCTGTCGCGCGCTCCTTATATACGCAATAGCGGGCCTGTCCCACTAAGCGAGGAGCACACCCCCTACCCTTGGAATGGAACCTTCCAGTGCGTGCAACCAATCGCTGTGCCGAAACGGCAAGCTAAACCAAACAACCTGCGACAGCCGTAACCCGCATGTCCCCGCAAACACCGGTAAGAAAAATCCGTTTCATATCCCCAAAAATGTATGATTTATACCCCCAGCTAAATTACTAATGCCAGCCAAACCCTTCCTAATATCCATAGCAACTATTAAACTTATCCCCCGTTACATTAATGCTAAAAATACATATTTCCAGGATATATGCAATATGTACCATAGTTTAAGTTTCCTTTCCAATATATAATTTATAATCCATACATGTAAGGAATAGTACACCTCTATCTCGAATTGTGTACTAATTTCTTTATGTAAACAATAATGCATGAACATGTCATTTACATCCTTTGCACTTAGTCAAATTCGTAGTGTCAATCAAAACTGGCGCATGCGTCAATTTTGGCCAATCAGCAGACCGGGCGCGCTGTGTGGATTGTCAGACTTATTTCCGGGGTCAAACGATGCCTCCGAAGCGATGTGCTTCGAATTATGCCATTTACACTCGCTATATCTATTACATATTGCTGCGATTTGATGTGTACCTTTACCAAAACCATTATGGTCAAGAAAAAAGGAATTGAGGCAGATCAAGGAGCGCGATAGGCCTAACGATCAGTTAAATGTCTGCACCATCGTTCACGAAACCTTCGTCTGCCTGCAGATGAAATTTGCACGAATTTCCACACTTTTGCACATGTGCAAAATCATTACCAATTGATGACAACAAATAGCAGTTTAAGACTTTGCAAGGGTTATAAACACGGACAATTCTTGTAACAACAAAATAGTTTTTGCTTAACGTTTTTAGTCCCTACTGTGCATTGTACTGGTACGCCATAAAGCTCAAATGAGACGGGCGAGAAAGCCGTGACACAATGTAAACAAATCTGACAGCGATCTGATTTCGGTTCTAGGGTCGACCGAAAGAGGAAAACTTGTTACATTAAAGAACAATGTGGCGGATACTGTTCCCTTCGCTCTTAGATATTCTTAAATTTGTCACACATTTTAGGATGTTTTAAGTATCTAAAGCACAATCTGAAGGCCTACTGCACAGTATCTTGTTAAAGGACTTTTAAAAAGGTTAAACACTAAGCATTTTTGTTACATAATGCCATTCAAACATGAATATATACCACATCTGCACCATCCATTTACGAAAAATCGTCGTAAAAATTATAAATATTCACCAAAACTAAAACCACTTTAGCCCCGCCCACTCGTATGCATATTTTTATTTTTAGCGGTCGGCCGTCTGTGGATGTGACGTCATACCCGAGAGTCCGCTCAGTCAGCCTGGTTCCCTGGGTCCGTTGCGCCTGCGCTACGCTCCGACACTGACCCCAGCCTGGTTCCGTTGCGCCTGCGCTACGCTCCGACACTGACCCAGGCAACCACCACCGCATGGAGGCCGGGACACTAGGAAAACCAACATGGCGGACAAGGTAAGTTAACATGGGGAAACGCTAGAACGGGTGGTTAGAATTTTTTCATAGCATTTTCATTACTACAGTTGCGAAGTATGAGTTTCGAGAAGAAAGTCCATATATTTTTTGGGTGGAGGAAAGCAGTATTTAAGCTGATTCGAGACACGAAAATCGTCGTCACACCCACAAAATGTAAACAATGACACGCACCCCTTTTCAACAGCAATATTTGCGTTAATATTTCGTGTCAGCTCGCTTTGGACACAAAATCGTGTTCATAAGACATCGAAGAGAACGACCACAGCCATAAAACATCGATAGAATCTTTAGTTTAGAAAATTTCAGCACGCTCATGTCGCCGTTTTTGCCACGTTTTCCCCTTTGTTGTATGCTGGGTTCAGCATAAACACTGACCATAGGCACTTGCACTTGATAAGTTTATAAGTATAACCTATATATATAAGATATAAGAAAGGTGTGTCAGTAAATCGAAACAAAATTGCGGCCCAGCTCGGCTCGGGTGGGTTTCGGTCTGACAAACGCTTCCATCGCTTTGACGGTTGAATAAACTGCACAATTTATGCTCAGTTGACCTCTGTAAAGTACCTTGCGTATCACTAACCTGGTGACTTTATTCTCATTTAAAGCTTTCAATAATTTTGCCGTCCATTCTCGCACGAAGTCAGGACATATGCCCGGAAGTAAACAAATCTCAGGCTACAGACCCGCACCGAATAGTAGAGCGAGTCTCTGATTGGACAGCGTCTTCTATTATTCCCACCTCTTTTAATGTGCAACTATATTATCCAATCAGAGACTCGCTCTACTATTCGGTGCGGGTCTGTAGCCTGAGATTTTGTTTTGATTTACTGACACACCTTTCTTATATCTTATATATGGGTCATTCTCAAAATTTGCCCAACTTTTGGTCAGTAACACATTGCTCTGAAAATATTGTTTCAAATTATTTTCAAAAATCATATTATGAAAGAAAAATGCATTTTGTTCCTCATAATGATGTAAAATAGTGTACCTGTTTGTTATTTTTGGGACAAAATTGGGTTTTATCATCATTTTGAAAGAAAAACCACTGTCAGTGGACAGCGACATTACTTTGCAGCACCATAAAGTTTAAATTCCAGGGTATTTATACATATTTTTTAAAGATTTATAATGAAACACCAATATTAAAACACATTCCTGCATGAAATATTGAAAACAAAATGAAAATCACATATTTACAATGAAAACAATGACTGTCCAAAATGTCACAGTCAGTGGTGTAACGAATATAAACATGTGACATTAATAATTATCTCGTTTGAGTAAAAAATATGAAACACTAAATGGTCCCTTTGCTGATGACTTTCTTCTCGTGGCAGAAGTTTTGTGGAGGCCAAATTTTATTTTGATGTTGAAGTTTGATGCAGTTGGTGAGTCTACTTCATATCATAACTTTTTATCGCGTCAGTGGTGTAACGCTGATTTCTTATTCATGTGTTCTTTTTCATAACAATGTTTATCTAAAGTACATCAAAGTTGCTAAAACATCAACATTTATGCCAGGTGGTCTGTGATTAGGAAGCATTAATTGTTATAAAGTTCATAAAAGTGGGAATAGGTCAGTGGTGTAACTGTCAGTGGTATAACATGGGAAAATGTTACGCCACTGACAATTTCTGTTACACCACTGACAAAATGTTCATTTAAGTCACTTGTTCACAAAACTCAACTGCTTTGCATTGTATTTATCCAGTATATTTTATTACCATTAACTCATGTAAAGTCTGTGAAGGTAATTTGTTCTGGTATATTAGTATATAAAGTTCAGAAAAATCAGTGGTGTAACAAAAAATGTCATTGGTGTAACAGTATTACTACAATATGTTCATTTTATTGTTTTTAATATTATTTTTGAAAAACCTTTTAAAATCTGAGTGTTCAAAAGTTGCTATTGAGCTGTTCAATTATATTAATGATCAATTAAAGGCAATTAATTTGAATTTATCGTTGAAGTTAATTCAATAAAAATCAGTGGTGTAACAAAAAATGTCATTGGTGTAACAATATTACTACTATTTGTTCAGTTTATTGATTTTGTATATTATTTTTTTAAAAACCTTTTAAAATCTGAGTGTTCAGTATTTGCTGTTGAGCTGTTTAAATCTGTTAATTATCAATTAAAGGCAAGTAATTTGGATTTATATTTAGAGTGAGGTAAAGAAAAATCAGTGGTGTAACACAACATGTCATTGGTGTCACAGTATTCTTTGAATTTGTACATTTTTATCTTAACTGTTGATATCATTTGTTTTCCAATGCCACATATTGGAAAGCTGTTCTCAAATGATGATTATTAAGTAATCCAAAGCATCATATGGCTGTTGATTTGGTTTACTGTTCCAGTAAGTTGCAGAAAGTTTAGTGGTGTAACAGGCAGGATATCAAAATATATCAGTGGTGTAACATGCATATTTGCTAACATTTAATTATTTCAAAAGAATAATTTAACAGTTAGACTGATATTTTATGATAACTTAAAACAGCTTTAATAGCACTGTATACATAAAACATGATCAGTCTTAGGTATACAAGTTATTTCAGAAAAAATATCATATGTTACCATTACATTCTTCTCACACCAAGCCCTTTTTTGCCAAATTTACAATTAAATATGTGAGAATAATGAAACGATTTAATTTATACTTGAAAATAGAAAAAGTTTGTAAATAATGACAAATGTGAAAAATTCCTTATCTGACATCAAAGTTTGAAAAAAGAATACTTTTATGCTTGTTACACCACTGACGGCTTTTTTCAGTGGATACTTTAAAAAAGTATATTTTAAAAATATTTTATTACTTTCCTGTGTGCAAATTATCATGACCGCATTCTTTAAGGTGTTGACCATTCATAACAATTATGAGATAATTCAGTATGATGCTTTGTATTTTCATATTTTTCATAGCACGAATTTGGCCTTTTTTTGAGAATGACCCATATATAGGTTATACTTATAAACATATCAGAGTCAAGTGCCTATGACACTGACCGCCCATTATAATAAATTAAGAAACACACTCGCTACTCGTCAAATAATTATGTATAACGTTATTGGAGTGTCAGTGAAACGCCTAAGGCCTCAGGAAATTATTCATAGGATATATGTATAGATATAATATATAATGAAATATATATTTTCATTAATTGTCTTATTACATGGTTAACTTTATCATAAATAGGTGTAAAAATTTGGACGATATAATTAATTAAAGTGTAGTCTTGTTGAACGTTGACAGTGCTTGTAAAAAATATTTGGGTTAAATTGAATGCTAACAATTTTAAAGGACATATTGAAATGGTTGAAGTAATTTGGTACAAATATATACATCATTTGTTTATACTTTCTTTATCACAGGATGATGCAATAGCCTTTGCCCTCATGAAGTATAACCATAATCAAGGTACAGCAATCAATCAACTGAGGATTCTTCAACGTGAGGTCATAGAGAAGGTTCTTACAAACCACACCATTGCGATGTTACCCACAGGATATGGAAAATCACTCTGCTATGAAATTCACCCAGATGTCATTGAATACCTGCTAGAGAAACCTGCATTTGTCATTGTTCCTCTGAATGTTATTCTGTCTCAACAAAAGGAGAAAATGGGAAGAAGGGCAACATGTTTAAACAAGGAGCATGATAGGGAACTAACTGCAAAGAGTGCAGAGCAGACACGTTGGACTGAAGGGCAATACCAGTTTGTGTTTGCACCCCCCTGAGCAAATAATTGGCAATGATACTGTCAGAGAAATATTGCTACATAATTATTTCCAAGAGGTGGCCACAAACATTTGTTGTTGTAGACGAGGCACATTGTGTCTTGGAATGGGGTCAGGATTCCAGGCCTGTTTTTGACAAACTTGGAACACTTCGTGCCTTACTTCCAAATGCCAAGGTTCTAGCTCTAAGTGCAACCTCTCTCTTGAGGGACAGAATGAGGTGGCCAAAAAACTAGGGATGACGAACTATGAATCAGTATCCATGGCTCCAGCAAGAGACAACATCTCACTAATCATGTGTAAAAAGGCCAACAGAATCAACAGTACAACATGACATAGAATGTGTCATTAAGCCACTGTTGATAGAACTCCTTGTAAATGGTCAGATGTTTCCACTAAGCATTGTGTACTTCAGTGGCAGTCAGGATTGGGTGGGACGGTCATATGAGCTGGCAGAGAGAATGCTGGGAGATAAAATGTACAGTGGAGGATTAGAACTGAAGCACACCAGAGTTGTTCAGTTCCATGCCTCAATGGAGAAAACAGGGGATAAGGAATGTTGAGAAATTTAATTTCATTCAAAACCTGAAATACTGTTCTCGACTATACAGATTATACTGTTATACGAAAAGGTGGTTGAAATAATGTCATACTTCAATGTCAATTATGTTGTTTCCTAGCTTATATGCAGATAAAGTCTATCATCCTGCAGAATCTTGCAGAGGACCCAGCAAACAGTCCACTGACAATAGTATTTGCGACCATCGCTCTTGGTATGGGAGCTGACTTACGACATGTCCGGAAGGTGATCAACATTGGTCCACCAAAGAAAGTATGATGACACACAAAAAGCGTTGATCAAAGTGTTGTGTACAAATTTCATGGTGCACTTTACAGTGCATTTTCACATTGTTAACATAAGTGCTCTGGAGAAATAATAAACATACTCTACATAAGATTGAAAATGAGTTTAATATTGTGCATGGCATATCACATAATTTGTTTTATTGTTATGCATGTTCAATAAAAGTATATTTCTAAAATACATTTCAGATTATGTACAGCAGATTGGGCGTGCTGGGAGATCCGGACAACAGTCAGAGGCCATACTGTTCTACAACAACTCGGACATTGGTCGGACATGTTTCTCAGACCATGAAAGAAATATGCAAGAATACATCTGTTTGCAGACGACAGCACGTCAATGAAGCATTTAGTTTCAGTAATGAAAAAAATATATCTGCAGAAGTATGTTGTGATACCAGTTTTCCTTCTCCAGAGATACCAAAAGCTTATTATTGAACACGCTAACTGACTACATAGTAATGGATGGAACACAGTATCTAAGAGAAAAGCTTCCAACATCTGCAATCCAACAAATAATCAGTGCTCCAGATGTCTTCAACAAACATGTCCTTGCTGAAGAATTTCAACTTGATATGGACATAGCTGAATTACTGGACAATATCATCAAGCAAGTGAAAAGAATATCCACGCCCTGAGGTAATCACAATTGTTTTAAACAAGAAACCATAACAGCTTTGCTCTATCCATGCCTGAAATGCACTGGATGATAAATGTTTTCAAATATCAAGTTCAACAGTCAAATCACACCTTCAGTAAATGTTTGCTTCAGTTATATATCTACATAAGGATCTCAACATTTAAAGTCAATGTTCAGGTACTGCACATATTTACTTTTCAATCTCATGGCTGTAGTTAAGTTGAATTTCTCTGATCCATGTGATGAGTTTTGCCTTTTTCATGTTGCAGACAGGGCTCTTCGACAACCTTGATACAGATTGGATTTGGCGTCCAGGGTGACACTGAAATGGTTTGATCCTGCGAAGATTCTTTGTCAAAAGTTCTTCATCCTTAACAGATGAAGGAATTTTGTGCTTCTGTGCTCTGATTACGACACCAGTTTGTTCATCAAAATTCTCAGAAATTGTGGAAATGCCAGCAAATGAAGCAGTTCTCTTTATCAGTGTTTTCTCAGTTTTGTTAGAGTGAACAGCTTTGATGTGACTCTTTGTCTGCTTCACTATGTGTTCCATCAGCATATCAGCTGATTTGTGTGTTCACAAAGAGCCCATAGCAGTGTAGGAAAGATAGCCCGTCCCAACGTCCCAGACGGGTGAATTTTGTGGAGGACGGGTTAAAAAAATATCTAGTCCGTCCTCATGTCGGGTCAATTTTAGCAAACCAATGACATATATATAATGATTATAACCTTTTTGAATATTTACTGCCGAAGGTGTTTTATATATATTTGGAGGACAGGCTAGATTTTTGCAGGACTGGTAAAACATTTGACCTGCCAGTCCTGTGGACAGGCTAGATTTTCTACATCTTTCCTACACTGCCCATAGAATGCCTCATGAGCTCTCTGTTTGCTCAGTGTAGCCATTTGATGAAACAGAAATCTGAGTATTTCCAGTGCATATTTGCTCCGATTGTTCTGACCTTTTAGCATGATCATTGTGTATTTTAATATCCTCATCATGCGGTTCCTGTCTGGACATTTGATGGCATCTGAGAGGTTCTTGAAGAGAAGGCCAATCTCAAGAACATTCCTGGCATAGGACTGATAATCATCTCGGAAACCCTGTGGAGACTTGCTGTGTTGCAGAAGAAGCCGGTATAAGCAGAATATGACTTGTTCCATCTGGCATCATCACAGTCACCTGCTGAATTTGTGTGGAGTCGGTAGCTTGAACAAGACTCTCCTCAATGTGTTGTTTAGCGTCCTGCAAAATCATAGTGTCGACCATATTGCCAACTGACCCCTTAACCCAGGCAGCTTTTTCTGCATCGGACATCAAACTCAGTTCACCATCAAGATGCTTTGTTGGTTTATCTTGCGCAGAATCCATACCAAAGTAGTCACAGGCAGCTTCTACGATGTATGCATCTGTTAGTGAAACAGCCAGTTCACTGCAATCCATATAGTGTTTTTTTGCATCACACGCTCATTTACGTCCCAGTCTGATCTTTTCAGCTCCAAGTGTACCTGTTTCAGTACTCTTTTCATTGTACAAGACCTTATACATCATCGCAAGGACTGTCATCTGCAAATGAAACAGTTCAAAAGTTATAGGAGACAAATGTGGAAATTTGTTCACTGGATCAGCATCATTGTCAGTTGAAGCCCTAAGTCTTTTAGCTCCAGAGAATCTTTCACGGGTCAGCTGGTCACCTCCAATGTGGATGCTACAGTTTTCACCAAGATCAATTCCAGCTTTTCCATACATTTCTGAGATCAAGGACTTACAGTGATCAAGAACATCAACTACATCAGAGTAAGTTTGTTCATTCTTTGGAAGCACAGGAAGAGGAATAACAGTATGCTTTGTTTTGAGGCAGTCAGCTTCTTCACCAACAATAATGTCGGGGCAATCTGCTTGAGAGATTTGAATGCTGGGACATGTGTAGTAAGAACCCTCAGTATTAGAGTAAGGTAGTCATCTCTTATCTCTACCCAGTCCTGCTTGTTAAGAAGAAAATCTTCTGCAGACATATTGAACAGGACATGTTGTGCTGCACCGGAAGGGAATTGAAACTAATCTCCTGGATGTTTGTCGCAGACCCAAACCAGTGTGCCATGCTTGTTTTTTTTTCACCAGATTTCCGGAGATGACTTACTTCCACCATAAAGTTTACATTATCCCCCACAAGTCTGAATCTTTTTCCTTCTTTGATACACTTGACCAGCTTGTCCTGAAAGTGCTAGTTAAAGTGACCAATTCACCGCGTATGAATACAACGAACTCGTTGACCCTATTGTTTGTAAACAAACATGTCGGACATCGGCAATTTCTATCTCGGCAGCATCTTTGGTGTTTTGGAAGTAAAAACCGAATGGTTTGAAGAAGAATTTCTTGACCCTAATCCCAGTGAAGAAACTACGAAGCTGGAAAATCCGGCAGCAGCGCAAAAGCGGGAGTATATTCAAAACGGGTTCAGATCTACGTGTGTTGACGTCGACAACACACGTCGGCCCACACGTCCTAACCTGACCTCTTCCTTCCCGGGCGTAATGCCCAGTCCTTCCACTTCCACTGGCCATGTATCCCACATAAAACGTGGCATGTCGGGTCTTTTCCAAATTGGGAATAGTAGGGTGGCTATCAACAATTATTTCCGTGAATAAAGTTAGCGGCGACTAAACTTAGCGAGTTCAAGCTTGCATTTGGGCGAGTCGATTGTCATACAGTAGGAGAGATCAATAATTCGCTTGAGAAAAATCAAATAATTGTACTTGCTCACAGTATAAACTGTATTTTTTTTATTTATGTATGCTATACAAGCATACTAGTTCCTGAAATATAGCATGTATGTTGATGAAAATGTCTTATTTTGTTCATTACACAAGCTGTCCCTCAACGGGATGATTCCAAGTGATTTCAGGAAAAGGCCCCTTTGCGCCTTGTGTTCTTGCGCGCCAAATAGTTCGGTTTGAAAACGCTTATCAATCCTGCAAGAATGAAGATAAAGCTACTCTGTTTTCTATTTCGACGTCCTTCATCGTTGATTTAAGACCGCTAAATGTTTTATTTAAAACCTTCGCGCGTTAGCTTTATCTTCTAATTTCAATATGGATTTGGATTTGTTTGCATTAGTCAGGAACTATGGGATCAAAGAGCTTGAGTTAATGATTTTTAAGTAAACATTGTATGATAATTTATTTCAATCACGGTATTCATCTCTACGGTCAACCCGTAAAGATTATATTACAGCAAATTCAAATCTATTTGGAATGTTGTAAGTTTAGGTTAGAATTTAAAACTGGTAGATATGAAAATGTTATTTTTGAAGAGAGGTATTGCAAATCATGTAAATACAAGGGTTTGTTTCTAATGGAAGAAGAATGGCGTGTATTTTATATTTGTGAAACATATGCTGTGAAATGTTTTAGTATTTATCACACCATTAATAACTTTGCTGCAGTGATGTAATAAGAGATGTGTGGCTATTTTTGTTCCATGTAAATAAGACAAGAAAAATGTACGTGGACATTGCGTACATAATTGTGATGACGTTTGTATTTTTTGCTGGATATCTTTTGCTGAATCAAACTATCTGTCTGTTTTGCCTGTCTGTCAGTCATAATGATTATCAGACAGTGAACGGAGATACTTTTTGCATGGTTAAATAGAAACAAAATGGATTTACACCAAAAGAAAATTATCTGACAATGTTTTTTGTAATTAATCAGTGGACACAATCACCTAATAACAACAAATCCCAGATAAATGAAAATATCATATTTATCATGTTAATCGTTGTAAGGTCTCAATCGTTTTATCTTTGACTGGGATTTCTTTCCTTTCAAAACTCACAGGGTGGAAGCGCTGTTCCCACGAAATGTGGAGTTGCCCCCAAAGCAACTCCATTTCCTCGCTGGACAGTGAAAGAAGGATACGTGGCGCAAGAGTAAAGGTAGGTTTTTCCTCGCATTTTCATTATTTGCAAGTATATCAGGTTTTGCCATTTGGCAGAAGGCTCTAGAAAGCTACAGATCTTTCTGTAATTGCTTGACACCCTCTATATTTATTGCATGAATGAGAAGGCAAATACACGACTTCCCCACGTGACAACAAAAGGTCATCCAATGGAAGTTTACTACACATCATGCGTGTTACAATATCGTCCACGATGGATCACATCAAAACATAACTTCGTCAATGTTGTACGCTGACACTATTGCTACAAAAGAGAAAATTACATAATAATGTTGAGGATTGTGTCAACCAACCATAAGAACATTTCCATGAACGTAGTGCTGGTTTCTCACGCCTGGAACAATCTGACACACTCGTCGACGCTCGTGCATTTGCACGGTAAAATGAAATCGATAAGTGGGAGGAGCCAGAAGGAGAAACACATTCTGATTGGATCTATGGCCATGAATGAAAAGACAACATGCGACTTCCCCACGTGACAACCAAAGGTCATCCAATGAAAGTTTACTACGCATCAGGGCCCACTTGCACAAAACGATTGTATCTCTACAATAGTCGTAACTCTGATTGTAAGGTAATTGTAGGGTCACCCGCCTCTTGCACAAAGCGATCGTAAGCCTACAATAGTTTTAAGTTACAGTTGAAACCTACAATTGCCCACTACCTATTGTAAGTGCCTACAATCGATGGTAAAAATGGCGCCGTACATGGCTGCCGAGGAAGTCTCAGAAAAAAATTAAACGTATTTTTAGAGATAGAACATCACATTTGAAGTAATTGACGGAAGGTGAACTCATTTCAAGGTATAGGTTGCCTCGGCATGCCATATTCTCACTTTTGGAGAACGTGCGGCCACACATCGAACATGGAACCAAGCGTTCACATGCTATTTCCCCTGAAACTCAGTTGCTGGTTACACTTCGTTACCTGAGTAAAGGAGGTTTTTTGAATGGAAATAGGTGATCTACATGGCGTTCACGAGTCCTCTGTGTCCCGCTCCGTCCATCGGACAATCCGTGCCATAAACAACGTTTTGGACATCAAGTTCAATCCTGACTCATATAAAATTAGTGTGGTGATCGGGGTCGTCAACTGAAGTTGAAGGCCGTGACCCGAGACGGAAGGTACCGAAGACAGCCGATCACCACAGCGAGTTCGTGGAAGCCATTTTGTAAGTATACACAGCCTGATTCAGGGGTCTACCTAAGATCGTAGATTTGGGCCTAAGTACTTACAAGGTGCAAACCCCGGCTTACTCCATAGTGATCCGATATCGTAGTGAAGCCTGTGATCACTACATTAGAATGCAAATCTTCTACAAAATAGCTAAATTCCCCGCGTTATTGGGGCAATTGAGGGTACACTTATTCCCATTAAACGACCACCTGCAGACGAAGAAGTGGCCTACGTTTGTCGGAAAGGCTTCCACGCTATAAATGTTCAAGCCGTATGTGACGCCAACTTGAGGTCAACTTTAATTTCAGAGTAGCTTCCCCTTGTATCAAATATAGAATAAGGGCGTTGATGTTGTAACGATTTGTTCACATAACACTGAAATGTTACGATATAACAGAATTGTAAAAACCAGTTTCGTTATTATGAGAAATATGGGAAAGAATAAAGTTTCATATATACAAAAAATAAGTGGGAATAATAGTCAAAGCGGAAACGGCTGTAGGTGAATATTGGTACCTAATACGTACTCGTCTCCACCCCGAATTCGTACCCAAAACGAACTCGTACCCAAATACACAATAATTTTTTATTCCTTTGTATTGAAGATGTATTCAAATTTAAGCACATAATTTAGATAGATAAATAAATAACACACATACACACGTGTAAAATCACATCAGATAATTATCAAATATTGATAACATAGCACATTGGAGCTGGTGATTTTGCAATAATTTCAAAGAGATATCAAAATACTTTTTATTTTCAAGCAGTTGTTCAAACTAGTGGCCTCTTAAGTGAAAATAAAGTCAACTGAAACGAAAATAATAATTAATGTTTATATAAGCTTCGGTTTATTCCCCTTTTTCTTATCAATGTATAATTTTTTTATTGTGATTTTGATAACCTATAGATTTAGTGATATGCAATATTTATCAAAATTATCAAATGTATGAATTTAATGTCTCAAATACGATAAAAAAAATGAAAACAATGAATAAAAGTTTTTAACTTTCATAATAGTTTGCTGATATTCAAAGACTAGAAAATGGCCACGAATTCACTCTTCACATTTGGTTACGAATCCACTTAAGGGACGTAACTCTAAATTGTTGTCTATGTTGCTATGGATAATCTTATCTTCAGCACAGAAGATTACGATTGTAACTTACAATCGCAATTGTAAAATGAGATGAGTTACAACTGTGCTACAATCGCTTTTGTGCAAGAGTTGTAAGAGTTACGACCGCGATTGTATTTTCGATTGCAAATGCCTACAATTGATTGTAGCTACGATCGTTTTTGTGCAAGTGGGCCCAGGCGTGTTACAATTATCGTACTCGATAGGTCACATGAAAACACAACACCGTCAAATCGTGCGCTAACGCAGTTGCTACAAGAGAATCAAATAACAACATGTAATTTGGCTGCAAGTTCTCCAGATGTTCACACAGTTATATTTCATCATCTTCACCCATGACACCTACATCCTCGAAAATTTGAGACAATTTGACCACCGCTTTTAACCTCAAAGATTCTTCAAGTTGAGGAAAACTGCTGAGTTTGGATATTCTTGACGAAGATCACACCACCTTTAAGTTCAGGACCCGGTTGTATCAACGCGTAATTATGTAATCATCAATTAAACACTAATCATTGATTAAATACTTAATGTTTGATTAGTTAATGAAGTGTTTAAATAAGGTTGTATAAACCCTTATTTAAACACCCATTAACTAAGTATGCCTCTAATAAAGGTCCCGTCATTAAACCATGATTAACTTAGGGGAATCCCCTAATTATTATCCATGATGCATTGCATGTAAACACTCATCGATCGTTTGCATCATGGCTGCCGTCAGAAATCGCAGCAAAAACTTTGAAAGTTGTGAAATACAACTTCTAACAGATCTAGTTGAAGATCATATCGGTGTGCTAAACAGCAAACTTACCAACTCCATAACTAATGACAAAAAGAAGCAGATATGGGACAAAATAACGGCCGAGATCAATAGCCTTGGGGTAAGCAATAGGACGTCCAAAGAAATCAAGACAAAATGGAATAATACGTTTCAAAGTGCAAAAAAAGAGTTTTCAGGTAGAAAACTTCAAACGAAAAAAACAGGTGGCGGTCCATGTCCCAAGCCTGTTTCCTCTTCCATCAAGAAAATCATGGATATTTATTCGGATTCCGCATGTTTCAACGGTGTGGCCGGAGTGGAATTTTCATTTTGATTGATGTTAGCATAGATTATGTATGTCGATGCAAGTATTAAAACAAAATAGCAAGTAGACGAAGACATAGGCTAGCTTGCGACTTCAAAACATAATGTCGAAATTGCGGACAGTTTCATTTAGAAGATAAAAGGTTTGGTTTGTTCAATTTCCGGGATTCATTGGAATTCAACATAGGCAAATTTAGTTTAAAACCCACGGCGTTAGCCGGAGGTTTTAAACGCTACAATTTGCCTATTTTCTGTTTAGAAGCCTTGTGACAGTCTAGCGAAAGTGAGGTAACTAACATGTAACTTCCTTTTGGTTTGTTTACAAAATGTTAAACGTTGCACACCTCTGAAGAAAATTGTATTTCTCTCAGTTGCTTTCGACAATGACCTATCAATTATTTCCCTCAGGCCATTCTCATCAACCTTAGCAAAGCGGGACTGTGGAGGGACGCTCGGTGTACAAGATGGAGCCGGGTCAGCGTTAGCGCTGGAATTTCGAAGTGGAAACGTCCGGAGTGCTGGCATTGGTGTATTTTGGAAGATCATTATCTAGAAACAAGTATCATTAACTTATTCTTTGGCTGAATAATAATCTTTAAACTTGGAATATTGTACCAAATTAAATACTCGAATGCTTGAAATTTGCGGAGCAGTTCATTTGTGAATAAACATCATTGAAGGATATTATTTTATGGCTCTTCAATCACTTTACTGTTATCTGATCACATATGATTATGTGCCATGTGATTGTATACCATCATCTTTGAATAATTCTTCCAAGAATTTGTCGTCTTCAAAGATTGTATCAAAATCCCAGAGAAAGAATTTGAGGTGGTAATGTTCCTCAATTATGCAAATTCATGCAGCGAAAATAGTACGTTATTAGTGCCAACGTATTACTGTACGGTTATTAGGCCATCATTTTCAGGTATGTCGAACAATATTCGACAAGGGTAATTAACCAATCAGATTGCGGAAAGCACTCACTCTTGGTTTACAATTCATATTCTTACCTTCTGTACAATGCAGTTGAACTTTATTCAATCACATTTCACCCGCTGTACGTAACGTGCATCCTCTTTCAACGAATATCCAAATCAATGTGAAGGAACCCATCCCGTTACACTTTGCATACGCTTCCTATTATGTTTCTCACAATGCAAATATTTAAGAAGCGACAATATTAAAAAGGTTGTGCAAAAATATAGCAAAGTTAGTAACAGACAGAAGCATTTGACGCTGCTGTTATTATTAATTATGCTTTAAAATTTAGAATATTTCAGGGAATTATCATCGAAAACTCGTAATGTAATTATATCAAATAAAAAGCGCTTGAGGAAATACAGGCCTGTGTCAACAGTTTTAGTAATGTGATGTAATTTCCAGAGACTTATACGGTATGTTAATTTCGTGTAGCATAAATATTTTCCATGAATTTAATTTTCGTTGGGTCCTAATTAAAGTGAGCACAGTAATCATCTCAGCTACACCCACAGAATTTCGAAGAATTTTCCGATTCCACCAGAATTAATTAAATAAAAATTGTGTTTTCTACACTAAATTCACATGTAAGTCTACTGAAATTAAGTTAAGTGGCAAATATTTTGGCTCGGGTCCGTATTTGCATTTGTCATTTTTATTTTATTTTCAATGACTTTGTGGAAGGGTGGCATATTTTATATCTAATTTGAAAAACAACAACCAAAAATCCTATTTATTTTCAGAAGCTCAAAGTGTAGAGATCCATGGCTCTCCTACAACGTTGGACTTGTTGCAGGAGCAACAGGATAATGATGTCGCCGTCCCATCGCTTGATGCCAAGCTGTAGCTACACCGCTGATATTGCAGCTGTAGGCAACTTACAGTCCTCCGTGGAGAGCAAGAGTCTGTGCGAAGACGGGTATGTAGATATATAGGTGTAATAGTTCCCTTATTCAAGTTTTCAATAATACCATGCAGAGTTTATATTT